GCCTTTAATTGTAAAGATTACAGATAGAATGACATCATGGGAAGCAATGCACTTGTCTCTTGCGGGGTATTGCTACTGATTGCTCTAGTGGTACAAAGCATCACTAATTTTTGGTGCTCTATCTTCATTTTGCCTAAGGCAATTATAAAAGAGATAGAAAAGATTTGTCATGCTTTCTTATGAAAAAGTATCACTCAAAGTGCTTGTGGGGTTAAGGTAAATTGGCTCACCATCTGCTCTCCAAAACAAGAAGGTGGTCTAGGTCTCAAGAGCCTAGTCTTATGGAACCAAATGCGTATTCTCAAGCATATATGGCTACTATTCTCTAAGGTAGGATCAATTTGGGTAGCCTGGGTTCACGAGCACCTTATCAAGAGTAGAAGCTTTTGGACACTCAACATACCAGCTGATGCATCTTGGGGGTGAAGGAAAATCCTTAAGCTTAGGCATATAGTGAAGGGACTTATCCAGCACATCCCAAGTGATGGCAAAGATATTTACATTTGGCATGATTATTGGCACCCTTCTAGGCCATTAATTGATGCATATGGCAGTAACATTGTTAGGGATGCAGGAATCCCATTTCAGGCAAAGCTGGCAAGTGTGATTCATGGGAATTTTTAGCGGTGGCCTCTTGCGAGGTCTCTTCAATTAGTTCAAATCCAAATGCACCTCTTTGACATGTTCCCCAAAGAAGGTGAGAAAGATACAATAATATGGAGACCTTCAAATTTTGGAAATTTCAAGGCTGGGTAGACTTGGGATTGGCTAAGGAGGAAGAAGACTAGGAGGGTGTGGCATAGATTGATGTGGTTCTCTCCAACGATACCTAAACATAGCTTCATTAGTTGGCTAGCTATTCTCAACAAGCTAAGCAATAAAGCTCGGCAAAGAAAGCGGACTCGCACCATTGTTGACACTTGTCTTCTATGCAATAGCAAGCCAGAGACAAGTGAGAACTTGTTCGTTAAATGTAGCTACACACAGAAGATCTGGAAAACACTTAGTGCTATGGCAAGCATTCTTCTAACTAATTCATGGTAGGGTCTATTACATTGGATGGGGAAAGAGGTTAGTAGAAAGTCCTTGCAGAATACTCTTATTAAGTTAGCATGGAATGCAGTAGTGTACCACACATGGAGGGAAAGGAACAGGAGGATCCACCAAAAACATTTTAAAGCTGATGGTGAGATTGTCTATGAAGTTCAGTTTGATGTAAGGTGCAAAATCTTGGGATTTGCTTGACCAAAGTCTTCTCCCTTGCCTATGGATATTGCTAAGCAATGGGGGCTGGAAAATGTTGTGAAGGAATAGATTGGTGCAATTTTTGCTAGTTCGAATGTATTCTTTGTAGCAGCTAATTTGTTGCTTACTATACAATCAGTTTATGGATAATAAATTTCACATTTTATCCAAAAAAAAAAAAAGATATATGTTGTTGAAAATGGAGCGGGCTTGCTATTCACAAGAATATCAGCAACAAGAGACATGTTGTTGAAAATATAATGCAACATTATTCACAAAATTATTAGCAACATGTCCCTTGTTATTAAAAATGGGGTGGGCTTACTATTAATAAAAATAGTAGCAACAAGAGACATGTTGTTGAAAATAGAATGGTACACTATTCACAAAATTATCAATAACAATGAACGTGTTGCTAAAAAGGGTGCCACAATTCTAATGGTTGGGTTCGGTGACTAGTTTTAGCAACATGAGCGATGTTGGTGAAACTATACTTTCAGTAACAAGAGGTATGTTGCTGAAAAAAATGCAAAATTCTAGCGATTGGCTCCAGTGACTATTTTAGCAACATAATTCATGTCGGTGAAAGTATACTTTTAGTACCAAATGATATGTTGTTGAAAAGAATGCCATGAATAAGCAATGTGAAGCTTGTTGCTGATGTATTACCAACCAAAACTTCTCCAACAAAGACATTAGCAACATGATTCTTGTTGTTGAAGTACTTTTAGCAACATGTGTAGTACTTTCATCAACATGCTATCAGGTTATTGAAAATTAGAGTTTTAGTAGTGCTTGTAAGCCCAAATTAGTGCACATCTAACAGTTTTTCCATTATTTTCGAAGAGTCTTGTTAGGTTTAAATGAGTACGACGAAAACCTAACATGCATGCGCGCTTTTAGATTGTTAATAATTCTTTTTCAAAATTCGAACTAAATATGAAATTCATTTCTCATAAAAAAATCATTCTAATAAAAAAAATAAAAAATAAAATTTGTTGATACTTCTTTACATTAAGCAAAAAGGCATATTGTGCATTAGCGGTAACTTTTGAGGTCCCGATAACACTGTTCAACAAAAATGCAAAGATCAGCTGCATGCATCATGCACGTAGTTAAGAAAGATATATGTAATGCATCGTTTATAAGGTTCACATAATTCAATCATTTTTTTGATAATGTGAATTATTTATTAATACAAAAATTTAAATCTTTAACTTTAATTTTAAATTAGTATTTTTAAATTAATGATACTATTTTCTAAAAAATCCTCAAGTAGCTTTATACAAACGGAATCTGGATGCAGACATGTCACTTACTTTTTTGAAAAGTAAGAAAAAAGGATTTATTTAACGATTCTCTCCTTTCACGTGGTCGATTTTTGTTAGGATGACTGGAAGAACATTGGTTTAAGATTGAGTTCTATGCCCTCCAAACGATTTGCAAGAGGGAGGGATGCCTTTCCACAGAATGGGTTACTAATCTGCTTTGGACAATCTCAAGGACTTTACCATTATCGTGAATTTAAATTAATAGATCCTAAATGAATCGAATGAAATGCAAATTAGGGTAAACTTGATGTTTATTGCAAGAAAGGAAATCAAAGAAGTAATTACACAAACTAATTTGGCTACTTGAATGCTGAAAATAACCTAAATCTATTGAGATTTGTGCTAAAATTGAAATCTACAAGCTAAGGAGAGCAATTATTACAAAACTAGAGAATTGAAAATTTGATGAGTTCTGTGTAGGGCTGGCCGTATCCTTGAATAATATGAAAGTTTTTTTTTATATGCTTTCTATGAACTATCTCCCCACTTCACTCACTGATTGTTTAGATCACGGATAATTCCTCAACTGAACTTCCTCCTAAATTTTAGGAATTCATGTTTTCTTTTAAATTCAAATTGCAACAAACCAGATAATCTTTATCTTCCCAAAACCAATTCTACAGATATGCATCCTTTCAGTAAATCTAATCTCATCTTATTCATTAAGACATGACATCACTTTAAAAAATACAATTTATGGTGTAAACAGATACTAATTCAATTAAATTTTTGTTGGTATATAACTTTATTGGACGCTGATAGGCTTACCCACTTTTATCACACACTCTGTTATACACACTTCTTCTCCGTTACTATCTCCGTTATTTTACATTAAGCAACCTTTCTTTCTCTTTCTCCTTTCTTTTCTCCTTTTTCTTGTTCATCGTCTTGCTTGCTTGCTGATCAAAGCCATCAAAATCCCTCAAAATCCCTCTGGATGATGAACTGAAAACATATAAAGAAATCATGAGAATCATCAACCTCTTGAGCTCAGAAAACGTCTCTCCTCTTCACCCAGCGTTGGTGGTTTGATTTTCAACCTTCTTCCTTCTTTTCCCTCCTCCTTCTTTCTTTTTCTTCTTATTTCCCTCTCTTCCCCTCTTCTTCCTTCTCTTCCTCCCTCCTTGATCTGGGTTTTGGTGAACCCAGGGTTCTCTTGAAGAACCCAAGATTCTCCAAGAGAACTTGGGAGGGAAAAAAAAAAGAGGAAGAAGGGGGGAAGAAAGAGAAAGGACAGGAGAGAGAAAGAAAAAGTTGGGCGAGTGGAAGCCGTGACTGCATATAACAAAAAACGTTAGAGTGTGTAATTGGTGTGTAACAGAATGGTGTAGATGAATCATTTTGCAACTTAATTATATGCTTAATGAGTCATGAGCCATGACTTAGTGAAACTGACACATACTAACTACTAGTAATTAGATTACTGGTTGGACTTATTGCACAGCCTATCCCCCAATAATAATAATAATAATAATAATAATAATAATAATAATAATAATAGGCTGAAATCCTTTGCTCCAAAGCCAAATTCCAGAACGGCAAAGCTCAGTTTCTTCTAGGGTGAGTATTCTTAGGTAAAGGTTGTATATGAATTATATTTGTTATTTAATTAAAAAATTTTTAGGTATAATTTTTAAAATTTTGTTTCTATTTAAATATTTAAAAATTTATATTGGATATTTAACTTGATAAGTACTAAATAACTTATAGATATATATTTATATACTTAGTTTTGAAAAAAAGGGCTAATATAAGATATTACTGTTACCATGTGTAATGTTTTAGCTTAAAACTTATTATTTATATGAGTTGTTATTGTTATGTGTATTATGTGTTAGCTTAAAATTTATTATTTATACAAATTGTTATTATTACATGTATGATTTATTTGATTTATAAGTCTTATTTAA